GAACTCCTGAGCTCAAACAATCCGCCCGCCTCGGCCTCCCAGAGTGCTAGGATTACAGGCGTGAGCCACCGCGCCCAGCCTATTTAGGTCTTCTTTAATTTCTTTTAGCAATGTTTTATAGTTTCCAGTGTATATGTCTTTACCTCTTTGGTTTAATTTATTCCTAGGAATTTTATTCTTTTATACTACTACTATAAATGGATTTGCTTCTTAGTTTCCTTTTCAGATTGTTCATTGCTGGTATACAAAAATACTGATTTTTGATCTTATACTCTGCAACATCAACTTTGCTGAATTTATTAGCTCTAGCAGTTTTCTTGTGAATTTTTTTTTTTTTGGGTGATGGGGTCTCACTATGTTGCCCAGGCTGGCCTTTAACTCCTAGGCTTAAGTGATTCTCCTACCTCAGCCTCCTGAATAGCTGGGACTATAGGCTTATGCCAACACACCTGGCTTTTCTTGTAAATTCTTTATGATTTTCTATATAGGCTGATGTCATCTGTAAATAGAGATAGTTTTATCTCTTCTTTTCCAATTTGGGTATCTTTTATTTCTTTTTCTCGTCTAACTGCTTTGTCTAGAATTTCCAGTAAATGTTCAGTAGCGGTGGTGAAAGTAAGCATTATTGTCTTTGTTCCTGATCTTAAGGGGAAAGCCTTTCACCACTGAGTATGTTAGCTGCAGGTTTTTCATAAATGCCCTTTACCATGTTAAGGAAGTTCCCTTCTATTCCTAGTTTTCCGGGAGTTTTTATCATGAGAGGGTGTTAGATTTTGTCAAACGTCTTTTCTGCATTAATTGAGATGATCATGTGGGTTTTTTTCTCCCTCATTCTTTTCTTTTGAGACAGAGTCTCACTCTGTTGCCCGGGCTAGAGTGTAGTGGCGTCAGCCTTGCTCACAGCAACCTCAAATTCCTGGGCTCAAGCAATGATCTTCCCACTTCAGCCTCCCAAGTAGCTGTGCGCCACCATGCCTGGCTAATTTTTTCTATTTTTAGTAGAGACAGGGTCTCGTTCTTGCTCAGGCTGGTCTC